CTTTTTGCACGATCATGGTCGGAAAATCATCATGGTCGTGATAGACACGTGGGGTAGTGAATTCCATGAATATTACTAGAGAAAATAAAACGTTTTCTTTCGTTTAAAGGATTTTTATTGAATTTCGGATAAAACATTATAAAAATTGGCAGAACTGAAACTTTCAGAAATGAGTCGATGGGACTAATTAAAACTTCTGAGAAATGAGTCGTGGGACTAAAGATTTCTTAAAACTGATAGCGTAGGACTGAAACTTCCAGAAACTGAATTGATAGACCGGTAACCATGGTAGCCCTAAAATAGGAACTTATATTTAACACACAAAATAAAGGTAAAAACTCAAATTCAAGAGAAGAAAATTGAATTTCGGAAATGTATGTACATTTCAAACTTGCCCGATTTTTATGAAAAAAAGTAAAAACAGAGAAACTAACATCGCCAACAAAAAAGTTGACTTCAAAACTTAATTTTGCTTCATATAATTGGCAACACGGTAAAAAAAATCTATTTTCAAATAAAAACATGATAGAAAAGTAAAGATACATAATATATAAAACCGGACCGACATCAAAGCTTTGAAACCTCTCTCTATCAGTCGAAAAAAATACAACCACTAGCAATGACTTATTTTAGAGAGAAATGAGTTAGTCTTAGAAAAAATATTTAGCAATGAAAGTCGAACGAAAAACGATTAACTAATTTTAGTTTTTATATAACAAGAAACAATGTTATTGATCATAATATCGAATTGTCCTCTAAACATCAAACTGAAATGATGATGGTTGATTACCTCATTTGGCTAGAATGAACTATGTACTAATCTTGAAGGTAAACCAGTTCAACAGAAAAAAAAGTATTCATCAAGAATATGGAAAAGATTGTTAGTGAAATATATGAGTTTTTCCAGTTAAATAAATCCATGAAACAATATCTTCTTTTCACTACTAACATATTAATTTTTAAAAAAAATTTACAACATGTTCATATTCAATATATAACTAGTTAAACAATGAAAAATAAATTATTTTTTTATTAGATTTGGGTAAAGAATAAATTAAATTTGGATTTGAAAAATCACATAATTTTTTAAGTCTCGAACAATATTATTTTGTGAAGTGCATGAAGTATCAGCTAAGCTTTACCAATAATTTGAGTTATAACCATTATAATTGGCAAATTGTATTTCAAAAATGTAACTAAATATGGAAAATTATTTACATATTTAACTATGTATAAGAAAATAAATATTATCTCACCAATATCCAAACGTAATAAGGTAAGAAAATTATTGAATGTGTGTTTCTTTGACTGTACTCTAGAAGTAAATAAATTTAAGATTATGTTATTTTTCATTTTTGACCAGAAATTACCTTATTACATATGTATGCGTTACTATATATGATCAATCCAAAAAGAGATAAATTCATTCATAAAAGTTAAGAATACATCATAGAAATGACTATTACCATAAAGAGTTTAATCGCATTTGTTTTCACTCTCCTCTTCATCACATTTTTTGTTCATTGTCGTACCACAACTGCTAATGCTATTACTCCAAGTACCACTTTATTCTTATACCCCATATATGGATATGATTTGTTCATTTTAATAAATGTTAACACTGGTTTAATGATTTTTATTAATAAACAGGTTATGAAATACAAGAGGAAGTATCTTGCTTTGGAGGACATGGTCCGTGTTTTGATGACCCAGTCTTTGGTTGCTCTGCCTATTGTCAAAAATATAACTATATTTATGGCGACTGTAGTGTCGACTGGGGATGTTGTTGTCATATTAAAAAGTAAATATGCATCAATGATGACATAATGTAATAAAATGTATAATGTATTTGTTTGAAAAATAACATCAATAATTTTAATACATTTTGAATATCTATACATAATCTAGATCGGAATAAATGGATTATACCCAGCTAAAATTTGAGCAGAATTTTCA